TCAAGTTCATTTATGCATTTGATAAGTGTTGTGTCACTCTGTCTGTGAATTATGTTTAATTTTACTTTATGTGGGAAGCAGTTATTAAACCATGGTAGTTTGTAACAATGGTTACCTGGATCACCAATAATTTCATTAGCGACTGGGGGTAACTGATAAAAGTCACCAGCAAGAATGACTTGCATTCCCCCAAAATATCTGTCATTGTTTCTTATATTTCTACACAGCATTTCTAATTGATTAAATGTTTTGGCACTAATCATTGATATTTCATCAATTACAAGAAGATCTGTAATTTCAATATTATTTTTCACTTTCACAAAACGTTCGTCTGTTAAAACAAGGTGAATAAGTTCTTCGGTGACATGCCTTCCATCTTCTATTCCTGCCCATTTGTGTAATGTAACTGCCCCCAGATCACCGTAATGAGTCGCAGCTATTCCTGTGGAACATACGATGGCGACATGTTTTTCTTTACTATATTTTTTAACAATCCTCTTCACAAGAAATGTCTTTCCTGTACCTGCCTGACCACTAATAATCAAATTATGGCCATTTGAAAGACGAAATGCCAACTCCTGGTCTTCGTCAAACATTGTGAACTCTAAAACAGCTGACTTTCCGTCTTTCGCGGACTTTTTGTTTACATTTTTTCGTAATTCTCTTACCTTTTCATTGTTTCCATGTACACTCGGAACTTCTCAGTTAAGCAGCAGAGTTATCCTCCTTGCGATAGGTGACGTAATGCCTTCACTTCCGTTGGATAAGCTTTGATCAGTTCAAAAAACGATAACTTGTCGGTGAAAATCATGCCATTTGACCCAATAAATAAACTTATATTATTGTGACATGCAGATGTTTAGTGAAGGAAATATTTGGGACACGGCGTGATCAAACCGTTTTTACTGGTAAGTACCGTTTTATAGTACATTTTAAAAAAAATTCCTTGGTAGTGCCTCTCGGATGACAGACGAAGTTGGCAACCTTGTTGTTTTTTATATATAGAGTGGGGAATTTTTATAAAATGTTTGTTTTTCGTAATTTTTCGGGCTGATTGTATGGATTATATCACAAATATGTTACTAAAAGATAATTTATGAAAAAAAAGTCGAAAAGGCCCGGGGGTCTATATTGAGGGGGGGGGGGGAGTCCTGTCCTCAAGCACCTATGGTCTATTACGTACATTCAGACGTATTTTAGACGAAATGTCAGTTGAAGTGTAGACCGTCACCGGTTCGAGATTTACACGTTTTCCAGAATCAAAACATGAAGGCTTGCGAAGAGAAGTGGATGTAGGCGAAAGCCTGTCCACTTCTCTAAAGAGAATAATGCCTGCAGCTGCTTGGCAATGGACTTAAGCTAAAACCTTAAACTGGTCATTTATCCAGAAAATGCAGGTCTAGTGTGCATCCCTTCATGCATCATCATCAATGGTTCACGTTCGCCATAGGGTCACTTGGGAATGGATCTGCTCAAAAAGCTTAATTAACCTGGACAATCATTCGGAAAGCGGACTTCACATCCAGCAACCAAAGTAAGTCTGGTAAGTCAGTGATACACTAGATGAATCATTAATGCAAGTTCGCTCTATGATAGGCTTTAAACTAACCTGGAATGAACGTGCTCTAAAACCTTTCACTTGGTCACTTGTTCAGAAATATAAGTCAAATCCAGCATCGGAAGCAAGTCTGGAAGTACGCATACCTAGATGCATCATCCCTCAAAGTTTGGTCCAGGTAGAGCTTGAATTTACACTAGAATGAACCTGCTGTAAAATCTTTAACCTGATCACTCATAAGTCAAATCCCGCATCCGAAGCAAGTCTAATAGTGTGCATCCCTTGATGCATAATGCAGAAGTGAGACAAGAATTAGATAGATTACACGATCAGTATGTACTGGTTTCCGCTTAAAAGCAGGTAACAACGTTGTCTTTGTTTGTAAGGCTCATTATTTGAATTGTATTTTAGAGGAACTAGGATTTAATTCTGCAAGTGGTAATCCAACTAATACCTATAACTGCCTTTCTAAGGAGGAAATTCGTCAAAATCATATGTCAGTTTTAAATATTTTTAATATTCCAAAAAATCAAAATGAATTTGAATTATATGTACCATATCTATACTGGATTCCTAAACTCCATAAAAATCCTTACAAACAAAGATACATAGCGGGTTCCAGTAAATGTTCTACCAAGCCTCTTTCTTTACTCCTCACTTAAATATTTACAGCAGTGAAGGAGAAACTTCAGAGTACTGTACAATAGTATATTTGAGAAATGGTGTAAATCAGATGTAAATGCTTAAATATTCCACGGAACTTTTCAAAAATTTGAAATCACAAAATTTACTTACCTTGTCATTAGCCATTGGCAAAATTATTTTGTTAAAAACATCCTTATTGTACACACAAGTACTCTGAAGTTGATATTAAAAGATGCTCGAGTTTCTGATCGACAAAATCTATGTAGTTTTTGGAGATCAGGTCTTCCACCAATCTGTTGGAATTCCCAATGATACCAATTGCGCCCCCTTATTAGCAGACCTATAAAGCAGAACTTATTCAAAAACTTCTACATGAGAAGAAGAAAACAATTGTTGTGGCCTTCAACTAGACATTTAGATATATTGACGACGTATTATCAAATAACGATAGTAACTTCCACTCATATGTCGACTCGATATATCCAAATGAGCTTGAAATAAAAGATACCGCAGAGTCTGACACATCTGTTTCATAATTGGATATTTTACTAGAAAAAGACTTTAATGGTAATCTAACAACAAAGCTTTGTGATAAACGTGATGACTTCAATTTTCCAATCGTAAACTTCCCTTACTTTTATAGCAATATACCCTTATCATCTGCATATGGGGTTTTTGTCTCCCAGTTGATTCCATGCGCAAGAGCATGCTCTGCGTATGAACAATTTCTAAAACAAGGCAAGCTACTCTCAAACAAGTTGATGATACAAGGATATCAACAGTCTCGTTTGAAGTCATCATTTCGCAAGTATTATGGTCGATACAATGAGCTTGTCAGCAAATACATCAAATCATTGACTTAAATGCTGACAGACGCTTTTCATACTAATTGTTAGTTCATTATTTACACACTAAATTATCTACGGATTTTTCCTTTTTTCCGATTATGACAAGGAGCACAAGGCGGGTGTGATCGGTCAGCAGGGGATGCTCAGTCCTCAATGGCACCTGATCCCACCTCTGATGTTTTGGAGGCCTGTGTTTGCTCTGCTCCCGATTTGTATTGTTTAAATGAACGTTGCGCTGAAATTGAATACTGTTCGTTATTTCCATATTTCATTTGATGCAAAATCCATACAAGCTTTGCACACTTAGGGCTTGAAGTTACACTGGAATGAGCCTGCTCCAAATTTTAACCTGGTCATTCATTCAGAAAATGTAGGTCATATCCAGTATCCGAAGCAAGTCTGGTAGCGTTCATTCTTTGATAATAATCATTGCATATGTTTTCTAGGGAGGGCTTGAATTTTCATTGGAAAGAACTTGCTGTAAAAACTTTACCCTTGTCACTCATCCAGAAAATGTAGTCAAATCCAGCATCAGAAAGAAGTCTGATAATGTGCATTCCTAAAATTCTATTTTTTATGTTTTTAGAAATTATGTAAATGGTTAGTCGGGAAAAAAAATGAAAATTGATGTATAAATTTCAACACAATTTACTTAAAATGCAATTTTAACAAATATAAATTAAAATTTCTGAATGTAAACATTTTTATCCCCATTTTTTAAAGCCGATTCTGAGATCCATAAACCTCTCGTTTAAGTCTCAATTGACTTTGTGGGAGTAAATAGTCAGTTTATGAGATGTTTAAATTGCTGTTTAAACTCCCTGTCTTTACATCAACCTGCCCTGTGTTTCTGTAATGATTTAATTAATGATCGTTGAGTACCATGAACTGATTCTAATGTGTATCTTATTTTGTCTATCCTTTGCAGTTTCAGATTATATTATCAAACAATCATAGTAAATTAAGTGAAGGTTAAGACTTATTTCTCATTATGGTGACAATGCAGAATGAACTTGCGCGTCATCTGGTATGAAAAATGTGTCTAATCTTGTAGGCAGGTTTCATGGTGTTGCAATTTGAATAGAGTTTACAAGATTGTTAGGCCATTATTTAAACACTGAATTTTCTACTAATTTTCCGTGTGCCCGATCATGACAAGGAGCACAAGGCGGAGTGACCGGTCGACAGGGGATGATTACTCCTCTATGGCACCTGATCCCACCCCTGATGTTTTTAGAGGTCCGTGTTTGCTATGCTCCCGATTTGCATTGTTTGGACTTTTGAGGTCCATATTTTACGATAAAATATGCAAAAACAATTGATACGATTAATTGTTTGGAATTTCTTGCGGTTAATATATTGGCAATTCGTATTCGATTGCCATCCCTAATATTTATGTATATTTTGAAAGGAAAAAATGGTACATATATATGATTTTTAAAGTTAACTCTTATTTTTTCCACAGATATATATATACATCCCTCCCTATTACAACCCTGTCCCTCTTCTGGACTTCCCAATAGCTTAAAGATTTAAGGTGGCTTTTTTTTCCATATTGTCCTTTCTCCACTCTTTATCTAAGGAAATGTTTACTATGGACCTTCTTTTTGTCTCTTTTGGAATAAAATGCCAGATACTCAGTACATCTTACATACATGAGTATGAAAATCACGTATATAATTCATATAACTGTAACAGTTCCCAAACTGAAAACTATATAAAATTTAATGAAAATTAATCAAAATTTGGGAAATTAAGAAAATTGTTCTCAACTTGATACTCTCTTGTGATCACTCGGTGCGCAGTGAATTAAAATCGATGCTAGGTTTGAACTAAGCAAGATCGAAAAACGTCACTTTATGACAGGGTGGAGTTTGCTGTACCCTTCTTTTCTGAATGAAGACCTCTGGTGTGCTAGATTGTCAATAATAAAAAAAATTACAAATAGCATCACTTACCCATTTAAAAAGTACGTAAATTCATGAATACTAAACAAGAGATATTTACAAATTGTGCATCTACACAAATTTTTATCTAAGCACATTCAACAACTCTGTCACTGCATTTGTTCACACATAGATTCACACACTGTCACCGGGAAATGACCGTATATAGTTAATTCTTTAAATATTTTACATCTAAGAATGAAAAAACGCAAAAAACTAGGACAGAAATGAAGAATATGTGCATGCCAGTTCCGTCTCTGCAATTCAAATACAAATTGTCCATCGAAAATCAAAACGCATTAACTTTATCATCCCACATACTTTGTATGTTTTCCTTGAGCTAAAAGAGATCCGTCGTTTTTCAATTTAATGTCAACTGAACAAAATGCCAGAGTCTTTCCTATCTTAAGCGTATCAGCATCAATCACAATGTCCTCTCCAACTTTTACTGGTTTCATAAATCTGTAAAGTAGAAATGTCTTCAAATATGAGTTTCTGTCGTTTTTTTTTTTAAAAAAACAATAATCATATATACTAATAATTGTGTAAACTTGATCAGTAGTAAAGATTTTCAAGTAGGCAAAGTAAAAATATTTAAAGATATACCAAACAATACACTTTACTACTATAAAAAAGCATGTCTTAGTGCGTGCCAAATTTTGCTTTTATTAACTTGAAATTCAATGGTAGGACATTTTCCACAATAATGAATTAAAATATTTGGCAATCTTATAACTGTGTGTAGTATTGAAAAAATTGATTTAAGTGAAAAAGTTCACTAAAAATTAATTGTAAACATAGTTTTATATCAATGCTTCTTTAAAATATGTTACCTCCAATTAATCTGAGAGGACAGTATATACATGTATTTGAACGATAAAGACATGGGAAAGAAAGTACAAAATTTCAATCCTTCTCGTGTGATTCTAATGATTGTGAATTGTAGTCTTTTTTCCACAATTTTAACATAAATGGTACTGGTAAATGCATGCAAAAACCGGTGCTTTAATGGAGAAAATGCTGTTATAGCTAAACTTTGGAGGTTGATTTCAAAGTGGCGCATAATAAATTTTAGGTTCAAAATGCATATTATCAAATTTATTCAAATCATGACTTCATGGGGTAGGGTGGGGCCACCAGAGTTGGATTCAGGTGCCTTGTTTACAAATACAACCATTTTGACTGACATATTTCATATCAACTGTTAGGCCATTTTTTTAAAACTAAATTTGACAACGGATTGTTTCGTCTACCCGATCAAAACACAGGGCTCACGGCGGTTGTGTCCGGTCGATAGGGAATGCTTACTCCTCCTAGGCTCCTGATCCCACCTATGATGTTTTCAGGGGTCCAAGTTCTTGTCCTGTTCATGGTTCGTATCTTGTTTTTTGTCTCCCTGTTCACAGTTTGTACTGTTTTAGGTTTTATGATATCATTGTTCGTTGTCTTTACCGTTATAAAATTCGTGATGTAGTGACATTTGTCTGTTCATAGATGTAAATTGCAGCGGATTTCTGGGCCATCTTGTGTGACATGTTATCAGAAATTTGAGAATAAGGAGACTCGAAGTGGAAGAAATACGAGAGTTCCTAGCAGAAATATCATCTAAGTAGGTCTTTAGAAAGAAAGAAGACGTTTTACTGCTTAAGTGGAAAATAGTCATGTGTTTCATCTGTAAATGTGTTGAATTGCAAGAGATTTCTTTTTTTACTTCATGTGATGTTGGATAATTCGGGTATTTTACATCAGTTGCTGGAACATAATTTATATTGAGACATCAGTGCCTGGTTAAGCATGATCATCTGATTCGACAAACATTAGAAATCTATGGAACGCCATAGCTGCCTTATGTGGTTATTTCATGAGAAGGTGGTGCTTTTTTATGTTATGCTGTGGTTATTTCATGTGAAGATGGTGCTTTATTATGTTATGCTGTGGTTATTTCATGTGAATATGGTGCTTTATTATGTTACGTGGTGGTTATATCAGGTGAAGGTGGTGCTTTTTTATGTTATGCTGTTTCAAAACCACATGAAAAACAACCATCACATGAAAAATCACCTTCACATGAAAAACCACCATCACATAAAAAACCACCTTCACATAAAAAACCACCTTCACATGGAAAACCACCTTCACATGAAATAACCACAGCATAACATAATAAAGCACCACCTTCACATGAAATAACCACAGCATAACATAATAAAGCACCACCTTCACATGAAATAACCACAGCATAACATAATAAAGCACCACCTTAACATGAAATAACCACAGCATAACATAATAAAGCACCACCTTAACATGAAATAACCACATAAGGCAGCTATGGCGTTCCATAGAAATCCCACAAAAACAGTCAAGAAAGGACGACTTCAGCATCACCAGATCCTTATTAGTCCATGATTTGAACTTAAACCTCTTACACGCAAGACAAATAAATATTTTCTTTATAAAGGTCAAAAATGGAATATCTAAGTAATTTTTAACCACTTCTTTAATTGGGCATTCTGGTTTAATTGCTGAAATGACAGTTCTTGGCTATTTTCCTGACACGCTACATAGTAAAAGGACTCATGAGGGATGTCAAACTGTAAGCGGCCTAATTTTGTGATGATTTAGTATACTATGAATCTTAATTACTTTCATCAAAATAAGATATGCTTACGTACGAAACATTAAGGTCAACGCTCACTCCGGGCACCTGTCGCTGGGAAGTCATTAAAGCCCAAGTTGACACAGCATCCACCAGCGTGGCAGTCACATCCCCATGCAGCGTCCCTCCCGCATTCTGGTGTTCTTCCTTTATTTTCATTTCACATATACATTTTCCTTCTCCTCCGCTAACAACTCGAATCTTTACAAGAAAAATGCAAGTGTTTAAACACACTTTTGCTGTTATTAAAAAATGACAATGTATCTGAAGTCCTCAATACATTGTAATAAAATCATATATATACGAGGGGTTATCAAAAAGTTCGTGGACTAGCGCCATAAAGTTAAAACCGCTTTAGGTACATCAATGAAATTTAACACATATAGTGAGCATCATCTTTTCTATCTATAGAATTAACCATAAATCATAATTTTTATTTTTTAATAAATTGTTAATATTTTTGTAAGCAATGGTATGTCCAGGCGGCGCAACAACCTCAAATATGACGTTTTTTCTACCTGAGTGTAACTGAGAAAATCTTTTGATATGAGCATTTGTCATCAAAAAATCCCGTTATTTCAGGCATGTTGTACAACACAGTTGTTCCGTAAAATTTGCAATTTTTACCCCATTCTTTAAGTTCTATGAAATTTTATCGTAAATTTTATATGGAGTTTTAAAAAAATTAAGGGCTTGAAAATGACGTCATAAAGGGGGAGGGGTTTCTTTTTCCTGCATTCTATAAAGTTTCGCACCTGGAAAAACTGGTATAGACCTAGGGGATGTTTAAACGGGCTACAGAAAAAGAAAATGCATCCAGAGTACTTGTTTTAAATGCCCAAAAGATTCAGAGAGATGAAAGATGCTCAGTTAATGTCGATTTGTAGTAAGGGGGTCAAAAGTCAGTCACGTCGAAAAGTGACGTTGATCATGTTTGGTAGAAATTGAACTCCAACAAGCTGAGTATTCTGGCATAATCAAGTGAGGATATTTCCCTATGTATAGATCCATTTACAATATTATATGCATTGAAAGTAGCTGTTCATAACATTGTAAAGTCATATAAACAAGACGAGCTTAAGTCCTTACTTAACTCCAGGTAATCTCATTAAGATAAGTGTATGAGATAAAGAGAGAGCGGACATTGAGAAACAATGACATTGTCGGACGTCAGGAAACTAAACGGCGACAGCGCCGGGTGATCATACATGTATAATGTCTTTTTTTATTTTACAATAATTTGGAAAACTATCAACGTATCAAGCTAAAATTTTCAACATTTCTTAAACTTTTGTTGTTTTATGTTTCTTACAAATTTTATAAGCACAGACTACATAGTATTAATTTTACTGCATCAGTTCACAAACTTTTTGATAACCCCTTGTACATGCATTAAATACATGTATATACATTATACATTTATTGACTGGGCATATTTGCTAGCCTAGGATTTCTGATCCGCTACTCTCCTCAAAAACCTTTGGCCTATGGTACTATCAAAAGTCTGGATTTTTTTTCCGAGTAGTGATTGGAGTAAATTAATGTAGTACGACCAATCAGCAAATGCTTATTTAAATGACTTTATCTCGGTTCGGGATAAATCTGGACTGCATGGTATCTTGCTACATAAAAAAGGGGAGTTGACGGTAGAAAACTTGAAGTTATCGGGTTTGTCATAAAGTTTTGTGTTAGTTTGCTATTAATGTCTTTTTCTAGAAAATTATCCAAATATGAAACAGATATGTCAGACTCTTAGGTGTCCTTTCGAGTCAAAGGGATATATCGAATCAACGTAGGAATGAAAGTTAAATATTGTTAATTGATAAAACGTCATCGATCTATCTAAATGTCGAAAGTAATGAAGTTGGTGTTCCCAAAATTTATGTGTGACGTCACTTCTCTCCATGTACTCTGTCAGGAATAAATGTCTTTCACAATGTTTTTTTTTTTGTTTGGTTGGTTGGTTGGATGGGTGGGTTTTGTGTGTGTGTGTGTGTGTCTTTCCCCCTAATAATTTTTAGATAAATGGAGTATTTTCCCCCTAATAATTTTTAGATAAATGGAGTATTTTATCAAATCAATACAAGCGTTTAATTTAAGTAGGAATAAAATATTTTAAGTGAACAGTGACTGTTCATTTTAACAAGGATAATAATTTAGATACGGCTTGCTTTCTCCTCTGCTGTATTACTGGCATTGAAGAAATTTGCATTTACCAAAATCTAACTAACAATTAAATACGAGGGTCTTTAAATACATAATGCAACAAACAGTATATCATAGTAAATGTAGATCTATTTAATTTTATTTTTTCACAGTTGAAATGTTTGAGAGCTCCTAATCACAGGAAACCCCATGCTTTTTCCTATTGTCGTCGGAAAGAAATTCACTTTTAAAGTAAGCATGGTCACTACACTGAGCTGAAAACTGTTTAAAATGATCTCTGCCAAGAAGATGAAAATGAGAGCGTTTGTGAAAACTGTGCTTCTTTACATAAATCGCCGAAGAACTCATATTAAAGATATGATTTTTGTATGTGAAAAGAATAGTCTTTAACGCTGTATAATTTTCAGATTGATTCAGAAACTCAAAGTAAAAAAGGAGAGTTAAAATATAAAAGTCAAACTGTCGACTGAAATTTGTAGGGACACCAAAAATTATCGATGCAATGTGCAACATGATATCTGAAAATGTCAGATTTAAATCCAAAGACATTGTTAGAACGCTAAGCATTTCATCGTCACAACATTTTATAGAATTCTGACAACGGAAATGAGTATAATAATATTTCTATTAGATATGTGCATTATTTTCTTAAAGTTGCCTTAGAGAAATATACGCATTTATGTGCCAACGGTGTACCTAAAAACAAATATTTTACCAAAATAGATTTGTTAAATTTACGTGATGGATGACAAAACGTGGGTGCACTTTTTGTAGCCAAAAAGGAAGATCAATAATAAAATGTGGAATCAAAGAAAAAGCTATCGTTCTTATTATTATAAAGAGAGACAAGAGCTCCAAGCATGTTTTGTTAGTTTTCATTTTTTTTCAAGAGGTCCAGTAAAACATGTAGATACACCCAAAGGAAGGACCATTAATAATAACTTTTATGTTCGAATTGCACTGAGGAAAGATGAACAGATTTCCTGCAAAGGAAATCCAAATACTGCCCCCAGGGTAATTTTCTTGCACCTGGCAACGCTGCTGCAAATAAGCACAGAGAAATAAATGAAATTCTGAAGAAAAGGAAGTTTACAGAGCTTTGCCATCCCCCAATTCGCTAGATCTCAGCCATTGTGAGATCTTTTTATTCTAAAAATGCATGCAAACAATCAAAGGAAGATTGTACAAAATTAGAGCAAATTGCATTAGACCTAAAGGATTTCAAAGTTTGTGACGCTGACGCTTTGCTTGTCGAGAAGTTTAAATACTAGTACTACGTCACATTGTTACCACATCAAAGGAAGTAACCGAGATCACTTCTCTTCCACGCTAAAGTCGGTCAACTGCAATACAGATCGCCGACGTTTAACGGGTTCATAAAAGGGGACAAACAGTCCAACCGTCTTTTTATCGAATATTTCTTGCACAAATCTTAAACAATTGAAAATAGAGCAGTATGCATTTTTTAGAGTACATAATAAATTGAAGTTGAGGTGATTATTTTATTCCATAACATATTTTACCTTTTTCATATTTGCGTATAAAAAGTAGTGCATGATTAACTGGATTTATCAGTCATGCGTATCAATCCAGGTCATGCATTCTGAGATTGTAGCAATTTATTACAAATTACTGCTGAAAAGCCCACTCTGTACGCATATATTCGAAAGAGATAGTAAAGAGGGAAGGCGTGTACATTTACGTTCAAATTTTATCCATTGAAGTTCAATACATACATTTTGTATTCAAAGTATAAATAATACCGAAGGACAGAATGTAAAGCCTATATTTAAATGCACCTCTTGATTCTGAGAAAGGGACCTGGAGGATTTTGGAAAAAGATAAGATGTCCTCGAAAATATTGAAAATAAATAATCTGTCCTCGACCGGCAAAATAAATCTGTCCTTGACTAGTACTTCTACCCCCCCCCCCCCCGAAATAGAGTTTCCCTTTTTAGTTTACTTGTCAACCTTATTTCAGAGTAGAAGAAAAGAAGAAAATAAATAATCTGTCCTTGACTGCTATAATGGTGTGACTCTTGCCAGCTCCCTCCTTCAAAATCAAATGGTCATCCCCTAATTGGACAAGCAGTGTATGCATGTATTTTCTCAAGATGTATGGTTTGGTTTGAACATATTTTATTGTACTTTCTAATTACAAAGGGATTGGGCAAAAGTTCTAAAAACTTATTATGCCCTCTCCCTCAAGATGTATGTATTATATAGGCTATAACAAGGAACAACCGTCTCTATTTCCTTTTTTCCTTTCATTTTTCCCACATCCCTCCTCTAATCTACTTTTTAAAACCACCATTCATTCCAGATACGTAGCTTTTTTATTGCAAAGAATAGTAAAGACATAGCTGTCCAAAAAAAGCCTAGAAATACTTTGACAAGCTCAAAAAGTAGAACAATAGTTATCATCATAAATAAATTTTAAAAATATGAAATTTCAAAGAACTCAAAATTAAGAATTGGGCGGAGAAGGGGTGTCTTTTCTCATATTCGTCACTTTTTAGGCACAATAACATGGAAGAGCTTACATTGGACTGTAAAGAAAAGTTGGGGAGAGGGTTCTGGTGCAACAGGCCTCCGAATGAAAATTTCAATACATAAAAAAATTATAACAGTAAAAAAAATTGTGAAAGGGGGGGGCTAAAGAAAACTGCCATTCAGAGTTTCATAAAAAAGTGGCCGGGAGGGGTTTCTTATATTATGTGCCCGTTAACATACTTGAAGGGATAAAAACGAATCGGATTGAAATGAGAGCCCCACCCCCCCCCACCCCCCCCCCACTTTTTGTCGCCAGTTACTCGAGTCTATGCTGTATGTAACATATCAAAGATGTGGAATAATATCAATTGGTTTTTATAGTTTAATTGAGTTAAAACAATACTCCATTTCAAGTACGAAATGGTGACAAATATTTAGGAAGCCATATTCTCTAAACGTCGTATTAGTTAATTCAAACATAAGTAAGAAAACACGCATAAGATCTAAGAAAACAAATTGCATCGCATAATTATTAAACACTGTAAACACGCATAATTATCAAACAGTGTATCATTAAACATTGCATAATACAGATCCGCTTTTTATTTGGTTTAGTATATAAATTTAATAACTCAGCAAATTCTAGGAGGGGGGGGGGTCCGGACCACTTCCGACCCCCCTCTAGATCCGCGCATGATAAGGTTGTTTGGGGTATACATGTAGATCTCTATATTCAGTTCTTAAGTCCTTCAGTTCATGGTTTAATACATACACGAAATATATTTTTTCAAAGAAAAATCATTTTTTTCAACAGTGATTTGAAACAAACTACTACAATCCCAGAATGACCAGGACTGATACGGACACATCCAGCTTGATCAGGCACAACATTTTATGTGGCATTACTTCAATTATTATGGAATCTAAAAAAGGCATACTGCTCTATTTTCAATTGTTTAAGATTTGTGCAGGAAATATTCAATAAAAGGACGGCTGGACTGTCAGTCCCCTTTTATAAACCCGTTATACGTCGGCGATGTGTATTGCAGTTGACCGACTTTAGCGTGGAAGAGAAGTGATCTCGGTTACTTCCTTTGATGTGGTAACAATGTGACGTAGTATTTAAACTTCTCGACAAGCAAAGCGTCATCACGTCACAAACAGTGAAATCCTTTAGGTCTAATGCAATTTGCTCTAGATATGTCATGGGAAGTGATATTCATCAGTGCCTTTGGGGTATCCTTAAAAATGGGTATGCTGAGGTTTTTTGGTCATGGGTACAAAGACTTAAGACATGTCTAAAGGATAACAGGAAATGCATTGAGAGATTGAAAATGTTTAGAATATTGCACACTTTTCTTACTTTTTTATGACCGATTGCATTATTTATTGAACGACCCTCGTAAGCAAGTATATTCTATATTGTACTCGCTAATATACTAAATAGTATTATAATGTGATTCGTGGCACGATAGACAACATTCGTATTATAAACAATTCATTAGAATCTGAAATTCCGGGTCAAGAAAATATCGTCATTGTTATTCGAATTATGCATATTTCAATGTAGAGAGAACAAAAACGTACATGTTCAATACTTCCATGCATTTTATCTATTTTCAACAGAAAAATAACTCTGTGGACGATCGAAACAATACATATTTACTGTGTGAGCTCTGTGAGGTGAGGTGCTTAAAGCGAAGGTGGATTTTAAGCGAAACAATATCTTCTTACATGTTCCTCTAAATTTATGAATGTGTAACTTCACTTCATGAACATATCGTCAGAAAGGATTTTCAAAATATGCCTGCAGGAATTAAGATTTTGTAAATTTACAGCCATGCTAATGCAAGTCTAGAAAATTTGAGTAAAAGAGCCTTAAACAGTAAACTAAATATATCCCAAGGAGGCGTTTACTGTTGGTGATAATATACACCGTGTCTTACCGGGGAGTCGCAAAAAAAAAAAAGGAATATAAACGCCAGGGGAATCGAAGTCCTTTGCTTCAAAATCGGTCGAAATCACGTTACATATTTTTCTTATTCAAAAAAATAAAAACCCATACCTAATAATTCACAATATTTCCAGTGGAAATCTACAACATTCAATACCCTATTCCAAAAGCGAAACTTTGTCACTGCGAGGTAGAATACAAAGTAGGAACTAAATGTATTTTCAATACTGTAGGAACACCAAAATGTATATTGTTTTAGCTCAATTTAATGTTTAAAATTGTCATTTTTCCCCTCGCAATATTCATTTGCATTATTTAACATTCCAAAACTCCATAAAAATCCTTACAAACAAAGGTACATAGCGGGTTCCAGTAAATGTTCCACCAAACCTCTTTCTTTACACCTCACTAAAATATTTACAGCAGTGAAGGAGAAACTTCAGGAGTACTGTACAACAGTATATTCGAGAAGTGGTGTAAATCAGATGTGGATTCATAAAAACTCCAAGGAACTTTTAGAAAATTTGAAATCACAAGATTTTTACAAAATCAATAACATCAAAACGTACGACTTTTCAACTAGTATACTTACCTTGTCATTGGTCATTTGCAAAATTATTTTGTTAAAAAGCATTCTGCATTCTGTACACACTGATTGACAATATATATGTAGTTTTTGGAGATCAGGTCTTTCAACAATCTATTGGAATTCCCATGGGTACCAATTGCGCCTCCTTGTTAGCAGACCTATTTTTGTATCATATCAATGCAGAATTTATTCAGAAATTTCTACATGAGAAGAAGAAAATACTTGCTGTGGCCTTCAACTCGACATTTAGATATATCGACGACGTATTATCAATGAACGATAGTACTTCTATTAAATTCATATGTCGACTCGATATATCCCAGTGAGCTTGAAATAAAAGAATCCAAGCTAGAGTCTGATACATCTGTTTCATATTTGGGATTTTACTAGAAAAAGACTTTAATGGTAACCAAACAACAAAGCTTTATATTAAACGTGATGACTTCAATTTTCAATCGTCAACTTCCCTTACTTATGTAGCAATATACTTTTATCATCTGCATATGGGGTTTTTGTCTCCAAGTTGATTCGATACGAGGCAAGCTATTGACAAACAGGTTGATGAAATAAGGATATCAACAGTCTCTCTTGAAATCATCATTAAGTCAAATGCTGGCTGACATTTTTTTATACTAATTGTTAGGACATTATTTACACACTGAATTGTCTAAAAAAAAAAGTGGGGTAGATCCGTTACGTATTTTGACCTTTGATATCCATTTATGACCTTGAAAATCAATCAATTAGTTATGTCTTTTTGAAAATTTAGATAAGTACGCTAAAAACACAGAAGTCCTTGTATCTCTGAGAAAATTCGAACAAAATTTAAGTCCACATGTAAAAGCACCGAGGAGCTTCGAAAGAAAAATCAAACAGTTTAACATTAGATCAAACACACTTATATACTTACACCTTGTAAGACATTTTCAAACGTTTTAGCTTCTGTTCTGAACTTTACCATTTGTTTTAAAAACTCAAGTCCATTGCGAGCAGTTGACATATTTCGTTAAATTACAATCAATTCCGAAATAATTATAATAAGATTGGGATCGGGCTCAGCTTTATTTCCATCTTGTCACATGACCTCAAGATGGCAGAGAGTGATATTCTTTTCAAAACATTTGTTGTCCGAAATGTTTTACCGATTTGTGCCATTATAATAGGGTTATATATACTTAAAAGGAACAAGAAAAAAGTTAATGGTATAGTGTCAGCGTATTTACTCAATAGATTTGTACCATCTGCAAATAAGGCAACAAAACGAGAAAAAGAGAAACTTTTTGCAGAATTATTTGATCAACAACGCGGTATTGACAGCGATTTAATGATACTAGAAATTGGTGCAGGAGGTGGAGCCAATTTTGAGTTTTATCCTCCAAATAGCGCTATTACTTGTTTAGACCCAAATCGGTATTTTAATGAATATCTTTTGGAAAATTCAAAGAAATATGGAGTGCATGTGAAGTTTTTGAAAGGTTTTGCTGAAAAAATGGATGATTTAGAAAGTGACATATTTGATGCCGTCGTTTGCACTTTTGTACTTTGCACTGTTGATACCACAAAGTCTTTACAGGAAGTAAGAAGAGTTCTGAAACCGGTGAATAATATCTTATTAAATAATTTAAAAATGTGCATGATCAGTTTTTCACTTGAAACAACCATCATGGAGAGTACTGAATATATTGATACACCTGTGGATCTGTAGGTCATGGTCTAAAAAAATTTTGATGGACAAGCAAGTAATTGTGAAGCTTTCAGAAGCCTGTTTTGTAATTAAACTTTCCTTTTAAGCTTTATTTTGTTTTGTTCTTAGCATGTGACCAGTTTTATTTACTTTGAAGCAAATAATTCAGTGTCATTTACATTATAAATGATCACCATTTGCATTTTAAACTTTTCATGCTCTTGATACTATATTTCCTAAATATCAACATTTTAACTCTGCATCAGTAAAATTATTGTTTATAATTTCAGGGTGGGAAATTTTATTTCTTGGAACATGTTGCAGCAGAAAAAGGATCATTTTTAAGCTGTATTCAGAGGCTTCTGAATCCAGTTTGGAGGAGGATTCTGGGTGGATGTCAGATTATAAAGGATTCAGGGGAAAGTGTGAAAATGGCTGGATTCAGTAATACACATATCACACCATTCAGTGGAAAGTTTCCTTTTGTGTTTGTTGTCAGACCTTTGTGTATGGGTATAGCAACAAAGTGATCATTTTTCTCATGTATGTTCATGTCTATATGAGATTTTTATTAGCTGCTTTTAATATATGTATATATTCCTGAAAGATGCAGATTCATATGAATACTTAAAAAGTTGCTTGTGTAAATCACCTTAATTAGTTTGTTTAAAATACATCCATGCATTTAAAAAGATCTGTGAGTATTTTTCTTCTTTCTTATCAGGAACTAAACTCTCAGAATAACCAATCTGAATGCAGTAAGCAAAGACCTGATATTATTTATAATTTATGAAACAAATTTATCAGCAAAGGAAGTTTGTTAAAAGTCTTTTATTATGTAATTTCTTAACTATAAACATTAATTATGAGTCATTCATTCTCATATATTTGTCATTCAATTCTCATACACAGATATTTGATGTTTTCAAGTGAATTTATGAGAAAAAAAAATCATCTCTAGCCATGTGCTAACTTGATTTCTTTTGTCCAAAGATAGCTTGTGGATTGAAACACCATTTTTCCTATAGTTTTTAGCTCACCTGAGCTGAAAGCTCAAGTGAGCTTTTCTGATCACCTATTGTCCGTCGTCCGTCCGTCTGTAAACTTTTCACATTTTCAGCTTCTTCTCAGGAACCACTGGGCCAATTTTAACCAAAGTTGGTACAAAGCATCCATGGGTGAAGGGGAGTTTAAATTGTCAAAATAAAGGGCCAAGCCCCCTTCAAAGGGGATATAATTAAGAAAAGACAAAAATAGGGTGGGGTCTTTAAAAAACCTTCTTCTCAAGAATCACTGGGCCAGAAAAGCTTAAACTTATATGGAAGCATCTTGGGGTAGTGTAGATTCTAAAATGTTAAAATCATGACCCTCGGGGGTAGGATGGGGCTACAATGTGGAATCAAAGTTTTACATTGAAATATATAGGAAAAATCTTTAAAAATCTTCTTCGCAAGAACCACTATGCCAGAGAAGCTGAAACTTATATGGATGCATCCTGGGGTAGTGTAGATTCTAAATTGTTCAAATCACGACCCCTGGGAGTAGTGTGGGGCACAATACTTATTACAAGGGAGAAAATCTGGTGAAGAACAACAGGGCCAAAGATACTTAGGTGAGCATTATGGCCCATGGGCCTCTTGTTTTCAATGAGTTTTTATCAGAAATGCTTGACATTGAGCTTGACATTTTTTTCAGCAGGGATTCTCTTAATTTTGTTTGATTTTCTTTCATAAAAAGATTTCACTTTACTTGACTTAAAATGAGATACAAGCGAGTTCAAAATTTTTCTCTTGACTTAAATTGTCTTTCATCTTTAACCAGTCAGACTTGTGGCTTCATTCTAACTTCTTCATTCTAACTTGCTACAAAGCATTTTCAAATGAATCCTCTAATTTGGACAACTTCCTTCCTTGTCCAAAGGATTAGGAAATCAGAAACAAAAACCACTTGACTGGAAGTGTCAAAGCAAATGGCACATGTATATAACTGTTCCTTCAATATGTGAATTTAAATTTGACCAAAGCCACAAGTCCTGGGTCCAGAATGGTGCCTTAAAATACAAAAAAGGGGTCCAGTTATTTACATGGGAATGCATGAAAAAATTCAACAAATAAAATGAGAACCAAAGTTCTTTTATTGTTATAATGAACATGAATCCATCAATACATGGTTAAGAATTTGGTTTGAAATTAATTTTTTTACAAATCAAGACTTCAGCTTATTTTACAACCATGGGATTCAAAGATAAATGAGGACCATTGAATGTGTAGTAAGTGACTTTTGAGGCCAATTTCAGGTGATGATTTTATATGTTGGAAGTGGAGGTGTTGATGATTTATTGTTATATGATTTTACTATATTTAATAGAAATATTTCAATTTTGTGATTCTTTTCATTCAATACCTCTAAAAAATACTCAATGATATTAGTTACTACTGTATGATATTTTTAAAATACATGTATATTTTTTTAAACATTTTAGTTAGAGATGATGTTTTAAAAACATTATTTAGTATTCTTCATTAATACATATCATTTACAAATTTCTCCTCTGCTTGTAGCAATAAAATATTCAGAGCAATTGACTTTTATTGTTCATGAAATTCAGGAAATTATTTAAAGCAAAAATTCAAAATTTGATTCCATAAAAGGTGCAAGACTTTGTATTCATCTTGAAATCATCTCTATTTCCTTCCAAATAATCTAACTTTTTTTTAGGTCAATAATAAAAAAAATAGTTGTTTGATGTACACCGACCAACCTTTCAAAACTGCCCCTACTCGATCTTTTTTTAAGTCTATACATATAATATGATCATCATGATCTATAATCTGATGCAATTGAAATGCATTTTTTAGAAATACTTTTTTTTATGGATAACCTGAGGTGCTTTATGCAAAGATGGGATTTTTTTTTTTTTGGGGGGGGGGGGGGGGGGGGGAGTGGCTTGATCCTACAAACTTTATTTGATGAAAGAAAAAGACATCAAAATTTGGCACTGAATTGGGAATGAAAGCATTTCAGATCTTTCTTTACTACGTATAATGTTCAAAGTTTGAAGAAGATATTACTTATTTGATTATCAATACTTGAAAAATTGAAATAAGATAAAGCGTTTGCTGTTCCAAATCCATCTTCGCTAGCCAAAGGTTTCTGATACGCTACTCTCCTCATAAGCTTATGAGGCGAGTAGCGTATCAGAAACCCTTGGCTAGCGAAGATGTTCCAAATCAGAATTATGAAAAAAGTTTTACGCAGCCGTAGACTGTATTTAAAGATTATTATTATTATTATTATCATCATTATTATTATTATCATTATATATATATATATATATATATATATATATATATATATATATATATATATATATATATATATATATATATATATATATATATATATCGACGACACACTGCAAGTTATTACGTGTACAATCAAGAAAATTGCCCTGAGCACGGTAACTTTGGTTATAATTTTTACTAAAAATAAAATTTAAACATTAATTGTGATCATCTTGGCAAGCCAAGGGTTTCCCATCAGAACTCTTGAGAGAAGAGCTTGGATCGGAAACCTTTTGTAAGCTCTTTGCAAGTTCTATGGTGCCTCTTTGGGTATATTACTTGTATAAGATGGACAAAACTCTACAAGAGTTCGGATTGGAAACCATTGTCTTGCAAAGATGTATTGTAACTTGTAGATTTTATCAGTAAAAGTTTCGCACAAAAGAGCTAAGATTATTGATTTCCAATTCTCCATCCAGCAAATGACGTCACTGCATAAACATCAACGTAAATATAAGCAGAACGTTCTGTTGCTGCTGTGGTCCGCATATTAACGTTGTCCCCTTTATTCAGGACAAGTACAATTGTCGACGAGTCAGAATCAAAGTCGTTAGTATCTTCTGTGTCTGTAAGTGTTCCTCCCGCGATATCACCGTTCACCAAAAGATTTAAATAGTGGGCACCTCCTGGACTAGTGTTTATTGTCCAAGTGAACACATATGTCCCCGCTGCAGGTGCTGTGAATGTCCCACTGTACTTACTGTAGCCATTCCCTAGATTTGTTTTGATGACGTCAAAAATTAGAGTGTGATGGTTGCTCGGCGTTGGTTCAGATTTAGACATGTAAGCGTAGAAGGCGATTGGTTCTACGGGTACTGGGGTGGTGGATGGAGTGGTTGTTTGTCCTATCAAAAGCCGACCTTAAGAGAATAAATTGACCAAGTTTATACGTTTAAGATTTCGAGCTTGTGCAAAGCGTTTGTCTATTAGATGCTTAGAAATGAACGATAATGAATGACATCTTATATATATCAGAGAAAAATATGATTTCAACAGAATACGTGACACACAAGAGAAGCTCGAAATTACTTATGTTTCCGTGTTTTTACAATTGATATCGAAATAAGAGACTCATCTAAATCATCTTTCCCCTCTACGATGTCTTGTAATTTTGAAACCTTGGTTTTGAGATCCGATACCTCGGTTTTCAGAAATTCTTTTTCCAGTCTAAGAATTTTTTCACTTTGGTATTCTAAAACATTTCTTATTGCAATAATGTCATCTTCAATTTGATTACCGACAACAATATGGTGCAGGACAAAAAATACAAAACAAAGGCATATGTAAAAAGGGCGATCGGCCATATTAACAGTTTGACTTTTATGATAGGTATGATAAGAATTGATATTATACTTTCATGTAAATTAGTTGAATCTGATTCGTCGAGAAACATTTGCGCCTCGGTTGACAATGGTTTTCTTGGGGTGAAAATTTTCAATGTTACACTCAACTACATGCAGTATTTATATATTAGAACATAGGTCAAGAATATTCATGGTATACAAGATATTTGCCGCACGATTAATTTTTCAATTAGTTCTTAGACTTATCTTTTATCGACATTAATATAATAATTTTTAGAACCTTTCGGTACAAAAAATAATATACAAAAACACTTTGATTTATTAAATCAGATCAATGAAGAATAAGACGAATTATTTACATTTGAACACACGTTTGCTGGCATTTGAAAATACTGTAGACGTATATTTTTTATGCATGGGATTAATTTTTCTGCGGAAATTTGTCACAGCGAACTCAAAGCGCATTAGAGACATACGATTGCAATCCTAGAAATCCGCGTAACTTTCTAATCGCGGATTGAACAGAAACTGTGATTCTACGGAATTATGATCCCATGAAAAAAATTAAGTTTACGATATACAAAACACGTATTTTCATTTAATGATTATCTGTAAATAAAAATATGATGAATTGTATACAAAAATACTCACAGAGATATATATAATTACGCATATCAATTCTTCAATGAAATGGAATTTCATTTTGTGAATATATTGTATTGATTTCTGGCAAAGCGTGTCTCTATAGTTAATTCTTTGATACAGCATTGTGTTCCAAAAGTTCACACGGTATTTTGCACACTATAAACACATTATGTTTTAATTTTTTATCTAAACGATGGTCACTTTTTCCGATTGTATTCTTTAATTCTAGTGTAGAGAATTTCTTTGGAAACCACATTAATATAAGTGCATTTTTTCTGATATTTTCATCAAGCAATGTCTGAATGAAAGTAAGCTGGATTATCACGTATTGAAACTGCAAAACGTTTCAAAAGCAGACAGTATCAGGAATTTGATAACCCTGTACGGAGACAGTCCTCCAAGCAGAAGTACAGGAGTGGCGTCATTTAATCATAATAATTATATGTGTCTTGTACACCCTATGATAAATCAATTGCAATGTTTCCAAATGCCAAGTCTGACCACCAGAACTTGGACTAAGGCCAATCAGGCAAAGTACAGTTTACGACCGCTGAAGTCGCAATTACACGATTACTGTTAATGGAAACCTCACTGGAGTTCAGAATGGTGAAATTCTCTATCTAGCAAAATGTCATCCCGTTCATTATAAATTCGGTGCGTAAAATCATCATGCAACATGGCAATGCCCACGTCCTTGTTGCGCATGTCGTTAATGAATGTTGTCTTGTCCATACAGCAAAACATTCAAGTGTTACAAACTTGCAAAGATGCTATGACCCATGGATTAGGCGACACATCTTTAAGGCAATGGAGCTTGTTATGTACATGTAAACATTTAGTTTCTAACAGATATAGTGCCAGATTGAAATGTCACTAGACGTCAATAATCTACTCTGAGAGAAGTGTTTTGGTCGTAGAGTCTGAAACTAGCATAAAGATTGTTTAGCTATGTTACAACGCACAAAAATTACGCACTTTGAAATTTATTTTCAAAAGGTCATTATTAAATGCATCATTGTGCCAAATGCAGCATATTAACCCTCCACATTTTTGTTTCTTATTTTTAATTAAACTATGTGTGTAGATATTAAAAATATGCTTTACAACAAAATCTAAGGACTTTTGATTGTATGATCCAAACTCCTTAAAATTGACGAAATGAAAACGCCTTTAGACGGAGGTGGTGACTGTAGAGGAATTAATTGTTAAGCTTTGCAAAATTGGTGAGATTTCTGCAATCTTTCAACGATTTCCCAGCCATCGCAATAGTCTCTCTCTTATCAGTGATCTCTCAGAGGTCTACACAGTCTCCATGGACTTCAGAAAGGTAAAATCTTTCGCCTAAAGGTAGAGATGTAAGAGAAGAGAGAGAGAGAGACCACATGATCTTACTGGAGACTGTATCGGAGCTCTAAAGTATATCAACGTCTGCTTGAGAAATCTATAATCTTGGAGAGATCTTGGAGATTGCAGTGAGATAAGGGAGATACTGCCGCGGCATTATTAATTCTTCGTCGCATAACAAGTGCACTATGATCTCCCTAAATATGTATCGGTAAGCAGGAACGGACTTCTCAAGGCTTTCAGAGATGCTCGCAAAGGGGCCTTCAGAACCAGCGCAATTGTTTAGGAGTTAAAATCTATCATTAGTGTTCTCTGTAAGTAAAATTTACATTATAATTTATATAGTAGATAGTAAAATATACAAATATGAAAAAGATGTGTCAGACTCTGTGGTATCTTTTATTCTCCAACCAGCAAATGACGTGAATGCATGGACATCAACAAAAATGGTCGGGGAACCCAGTGTTGCAGATGTAGTCTGAAGACTTACATTATCTCCCTTCCCAAGGACCACCACCACTGTTGATGAGTCAGAGTCATAATTCCCATTCCTTGTATCAGTGACTGTCCCTCCAACGATTAGACCGTTCACGAAAAGATTTATATAGTGAGCTCCGCGTATGTCCCTTCCGAAGGTGCGATAAATGTTCCTCTGTACTTGCTGTATCCATTCCCAAGATTTGTTTTGATGACGTCAAATACTAGAGTGTGATGGTTGCTTGGCGTCGGTTCTGATTTGGACATGTAGGCATAGAAGGCGATTGGTTCCACTGGTAATGAGGTAGGAGCGGCTGTTTGTCCAATCAGCAGTCTACCTGACAAAGACGGATACTGATAAAATTGTGAGCTTCCTCAAAGCAGTTTTTTTTTCACTTTCAAAAACAGATATTTACATCCACTGAATGAAATCTCCTTTTATTTCTTATGAAAACCATGCCCTGGCGGTCGTTTATGATAAATCAGTAAACACCGCTAAGCAAGCCACCTGTACAGATTTCTTCAGCGTGACTCTTCCATCAATGAAACTTGCATTGACGTACATATCAATAATACAATTTTTAACAAACTCAGTTCTACTTTATATGATTATTTTTACAGATATAATTTTAAACAATAAAATGGCTTTCTTTCTTTGTTAGGACGGGGATTAATGTTGCAGCTATTGCAGAAAAAAATTACATACCTCTCCTATGCGGGTTATGTATTTTTTCTGCAACAACTGCAGCATTAAGTCCCGTACTAAAAACCAAAGAAAGCATTTTATTGTTTGAATTAACACGTTGATTTTCCCCATCAATCAACGGAAATAAATTCATGAAAAAGCGATGTACTTTAAATGTAAGAATAAACATATGTGCAACAAAGGAAGCTGGATGATCACTTACGATTTCGCGCTTCCGATTTTGAATCAAATGATTCTTCTTGTCCTTCTTGCACTTATTTCAATATTTTGTAGTTTTGAAACCTTTGACTTCAGATCCCACAACTCAGTTCTCAAAATTTCATTTCCTTTTCCAGCATACAATTGTTTTCACTTAGGTATCCCACGACCTTTTTATGACCCCGTATCGAAGATTCGGGGGTATAGTTTTTGCCCTGTCCGTCCGTCCGTCTAGCTGTCTGTCTGTTTGTCCATAAAATCTTTAACCTTGCCCATAACTTTTGATTGGTTGGAGTTATGGCTTTCATATTTCACATGTGTATTTCTTGTGACAAGACCTTTCTTTGGGTACCACCATATTTGACCTTTGACCTTGACTTTGTTGTTTGATCCAAGTTTTGCAAAATTTTACCAAACTTTAACCTTGGCCATAACTTTTAAAGAATTGGTGCTAGGGCTTTCATATTTCACACGTGTAATCCTTGTGATAAGACCTTTCTTTGGATACCAATAACTTTGGCCTTGACCTAGGAGTTTGACCTACTTTTGAAAAACTTTAATCTTGGTCATAACCTTTAAACAGTTGGAGCTAGGGCTTTCATACTTCACATATGTTATTCTTGTGACAAGACCTTTCTTCGGATACCAACAGCTTTGACCCTTTGATCTTGACCTTGGAGTTTGATTTACTTTTGGAAAACTTTAACCTTGGCCATAACTTTTGAAGATTTGGTGCTAGGGCTTTCATATTTCACATGTGCAATTCTTGTGATACGACCTTTCTTTGGATACCAATAACTTTGACCTTTTGACCTTGACTTTGGAGTTTAACATACTTTTGGAAAACTTTAAACTTGGTCATAACTTTTGAACGGTTGGTGCTAGGGCTCTCATACTTCAAATATGTAATCTTTGTGACAAGACCTTTCTCTTTATATACCAACAACTTTGACCCTTTGACCTTGACCTTAGAGTTTGACATACTTTTGGAAAACTTTAACCTTGGCCGTAACTTTTGAACGGTTGGTGCTAGGACTTTCATACCTCACATATGTAATCCTTGTGGCAATACCTTTCTTTGGTTGCCAACAACTTTGACCCTTTGACCTTGACCTTGGAGTTTGACCTACTTTTGGAAAACTTTAACCTTGGTCATAACTTTTGAACGATTGGTGCTTCGGCTTTCATATTTCACCTTTGTATTTCTTGGGAAAAGGTCTTTCCTTGGGCACCATTAATTTGACCATTTGACTTTGACCTTGATGTTTGACATACTTTTGAAAAAACTTTAACCTTTTCCATATCTATTAAATAGTTGCTGCTAGGGCTTTCATATTTCAGAAGTTTATTCCTCGAGACAAGACCTTACTTTGGGTACAAGTAACAGTTGTTGTATATTTATTATGGTGTATCCTGATTTATTTGGACGAAGGGCGGTGACGAGTGCGAAGCACGAGTCTCCGCCCCTTCGTCCAAATAACTCACGATACACCATAATAAATATTCAATAACTTTCTTGTATCATGGCCAATCAAAACGTCAATAATTGCTATGTCCCAATTTTTCCAGCATGATTTTTAATTACACCAATAAAAAATATAGTTTTTGTCAGGTGAATATTCTCTCCTTCCCGCCAGTATCTTTTAATTCGCACATTTAATGTGTGTGTTCATGAGAAAGGACGTCGGATTGCAGCTCTCCAACTTAATATAAAACGGATTGTTAATGAAATTCATAAGAAAACCTTTGGATATCAAGGATGAAAAATTCGAAGTTGAAGAAGGGAAATTCAGTGTTAATCGAAAATCAAGAAAAAAAGATACCCGTTGATCATTTGACATATTCGAGAGCTGTGGCATGAACAAAAACGCTGTGTTAATAACTCTTCATCTATGGATGCACTGCAGCTGAACTTTATTCTAGTTGAGCAAAGAATACAGCAAAGATGGTATATCCTGCTAAAAGGCTCTATTACAATAGGTGTGATATTTTAAGATATTTATTTGTGGAATTCATGTCAAGAACTTGATTTCTCGATGTGGTGGATCGAATATTTGCAGAGTTCCGTAAAAACGTTTCGTTTTTTGGGATACATGTTCACTGTAATTTATGTGAAAGACCTTTATTTCATTGGCAGAAACTTTGTCTTTGTATATAACAAAGTCCATTTAATTCTGTAATTCTTCAATATACATATAATTTAAAATGTTGAAATCGCCTTGGTGTTCAATAATTTATTTACACGGCACAGTTTTTGCTGGCTCCGCCCATCGGTGTATCTCCAGTTATTGTACACTTGACTTCAAAGGAAAAACACCACAGCCATGATACAAACATATTTGATTTGCATTTGAGAAAGTATAACCTTTGCTATAAGTTGCCATACGGGGGCATCAGTGTTTCACAAACACATTTTGTTTTTTATTGCAGCGATGTCATCTTCAACTGGATTACCGACAACAATATGATAAACAACAAAAAATATGAAACAAGATGATTTATAAAAAAAAAAACTAATGACCATGTTTTTAGTCTTAGCTAATCCCTTTGATAAGAATAACTGAACAGTTCAAGAACAGAGGTCAAACAAGCCGATTGCTGATAATTATTTTCACCATAGGTTACAAGAACCATATCTTTGCTGGTCGTTTGTTTTCGTTTTTAGGCTTTAAAAAGTTATAATGTTAGGAGAAAAATTAATAATTTTAGCAAATGAATATGAAAAGAAAAATAAATGTCAGTGTACAGTAGTCTTTTTACAATATATTATATTACCTAGAATACGGAGTGAATAAGAAAAATATAGTTTACATACTAGTATTTTTAAGACACTAGTTATGAAAGTAAATGAATTGAGATTGTATTTGCAGGTTATATCAAATGACATTGTAGTTGATTTGACCTGAGTTATACTCAGGCGACCTATCTCCATTTGTTCCTGTCCTTCCCGTTGTGTGTTGTTCTTTTGAACATTCTTCTCTGGAATTTTCAAGTTTCAACCTGTTTGGTACATGTCTATAGAATCTATGGACAAAGGGGAACAAAAATTGTGAATTTCAAGGTCCACTGAGACCGGGGTGGGGGGGGGGGGTGCCAAATCCATCAAAATTCATACAATCTTCAAAAATCTTGCACTTCTTGTTGGAAATTTAAAATAATTACAGATTATAAAAGCTATAGGCCCACTACTAAATTGTTAAAAATATCGCAAGGTAGGGATATAAATGGTTATATATTGAAAATGCATTAAGTCGTTGGTAATCTTGCTCTTTGCCATCTAGCAGATAAACTATGTGCATGTTTACACCGAGTACTCCTCATAGTTTTACTGAAATTGTAAAATTCATGACCCTGAGTTCAGTTAGGATATTTCGGTTATACTAATTGAAAGGTGAAACGTTTGCAACCCTCTGGCAAATTTGTAAAATTCATATATCTCCTAGTTCCATTGATCAGATTCCAGGAAATATATACGTTACATTTTTGAGAGTCATGGTGGGGCTATTTTGGGTTATGCTAATTCAAAAGTAAAATGTTTCCAGGACATACAGGTAACTCTTGATGGCTCGAACTTCGATCTCTCGAAGTTCTTGATCGCTCGAAGTGAGTCTCCGGTCCCGAATTTTTCCACTATATAACTAATCAAATTTACTCTTGATTTCTCGAACTCTTGATCTCTCAAAACCCTTGATCCCTCGAAGTCAAAATGCAGTCCCGCTATGCATATTCTATTAGAATTTACCCTCGATACCTCGAAGTGGCTATGTGTATACAAGATTATATAATTAGCACCTTTACCTGGACATTTAAATGGCCCCAGGCAGAAGACGCGGGTCTCGAGGAACAGGATGTTTATTCAGGTGACACTTATGCTGCAAGGTGATAATTGATTTATAATGAATCATATTTTGCCTATATGCTATTAAAATAATTATCATCGACTGTCTTACGATAATTTAGAGACGTAGTGTCATTGAAAAGTAGTAATTTATTATAAGACAAAACATTAATTTAATTTTTATTTCGAGTCAGTGTCAAAGTTAAACGATATATGAAAAAAGCAGAAACAGCCTCAATGTCAATATGACTACTATTATTGGACAAATACTTACAGAACTGCGTTCAATGATCATGTTTGGAATAGTCAATGCTATGTACGACGCTGTAAAATGTCGTTTTCATGTAACGAATGCGTAGTATGATGTCCGTATTACAAAGAATAAATAAATATACATGATATGACGATATACATTTTTTGCTTGACTCAATTTAATGAAATATTCATCTGAATTACGAAAAAATATCGTTGTTTTATAAAAACCACGTGTAAAAGGTTAGCATTACATCCGGTAAGACTAATTTTAAAACCTGTCAACAAACCCGGAAAATTCCGGACTCTTGAAAACTCGAACTCTTGATCTCTCGAAGTTTTTCCTCGGTCCCGCGGACTTCGAAGTTTCGAGAGTTACCTGTATATACGTTACATGTTTGGAAGTTAGGGATACCTAGCAAGAAAATGTTTAGCTTTTTGCTTCATTGAGTACAAACATATAACCCTTTACATAAATTATAAAATAAAATTCAGGCTCTAGTACCCGGAAAAATTGGTTTTGTATAGAAAATTCGTTACACATCTTTGAAAATCTTCTTAATTCAGCATTAGGCAGACAAGTTGTTTGCATGATTATAATTAACATTTGTCCTTCTGCCAAATTTGTAAATTTCATAGCCTCGGGTCTAGGTTTCAGGTCCTAAACTGGGGATTTATTAGTCATGTGCTGAAATGTGTATTTTTTTGTATCTTGGGCTCTTCAGCAGGCAAACTGCTTGCATGATTACCGTATAAAGAGCTTACAAACTCTCTACCAAAACTTTAAGTCGCCCGCTTGGCGCAGTGGGTAGAGCGTCTGCTCTGGAGTCGCGAAGTAAGGAGTTGATTCTTACGTCGCGGGTTCGAATCCCACTGTGGGACGTGGATACCGGTCCTTCGGATGAGACCGTATAAACCGAGGTCCAGTGTCGCAGAAGGTGCTGGCACGATAAAGATCCCTCACTGCTCAATGGCCGTAAGTGCCAAGCATAGGACAAAATTTGCACCTCTCCATCGGCAAGTGGTGGCGTCTCCATATGAGTGAAAAATTCTCGAGAGGGACGTTAAACAATATACAAACAAACAAAACCAAAACTTTAAGAATTATGTCCCCTTGGTTTATAATTCAGACCCCAAGGTGAGCCTCACTTGAAATTATATGTAGGAAATTCTTTTTTCTAATTCTTTTTTTTTTAGCAGGTAATTGATTGCATTATTATAATAAGCAATTGCCCTCATACGAAGATTTTATAAGAGGAGGATTGCATTTTTTTTCTTACATGTAGAGAAAAGCTTGACCACAAGAGCTCTTTTAGCATTATAGAGAAACAAAAAAAATCACTGTGTGGGAGTGATCAAACATATAGCAAAAATGTAAGAAAAAAATTTCACGGTGATAAGATTTACAAGACGAATTATCGAATCACACCCACATAATAACGGAAATCTGAGGTTTATTTGAGAATTATTAGAATTTGAGAATATACTTATTTAAATAATACCAACTAAGAATAAAGTGTCTTCAGTTAAACTGAGAAGCAGAACAGGCTGTTTCAATAAGCTTTTAATGTAATAAATATGATATGTAGTGAGTTATGCAATAGTTTTATATCTATCATTTCAAGTGCTTCGTGTGGAAAGCTCAACTTCTTTCCGCTTTTCCTAGAACCGACACGAACATTTGCACAATTGTACTGTTATCAACTTAATATACTACAAAAATGAAAACAGTATAAATGAATTTGAATATATATATAATTTCATATTCATTAAGTTCATTCTAAATTTTCCATCCACTAAAGCACGTGAAGGCATGGATATCAGCATAGATGTACGCTCGATCACTCGCACCTGTGGTACGAAGATTGACGCTGTCACCGCTGTTTAAGGACACCACCACCGTAGACGAGTCAGAGTCATAATCGTTTGCATCTTGTGTGTCTGTCAAAGTCCCTCCAACCACGGCATTGTTGACCATTAAGTTAATGAAGTGGGCGCCGTGTGGATTTGTGTTGATCGTCCAAGTGAACACATACGCCCCTGATGTAGGTGCCACAAATGTCCCGCTGTATTTATTGTATCCGTTTCCAAGATTAGTTTTCGTTACGTCAAAGATCAATGTATGGTGGTTGCTGGGCGCTGATTCCGATTTGGACATATAGGCGTAAAATGCTACTGTTTCCACGGGTACTGTGGTAGGAGAGGGAGAGATTGGGAGAAGAAGACGGCCTGCAAAATATACAATAAAAATATACAAATATACAATGAAATGGTTCTTGAACCAAGCGTTTAAAAATAATTTCTGACTACTATTTTTCTAATATTAGCTGAATTCTGCATGGCCTACGTGAACTTCAGGGACGGATCCAGAATTTTTTTTCCAGTGGGGTCAACATCAGATCTAAAAAAAAAAATGTCACACTCGGAAATCTTTTGACATGCCAAAAAAGGTAAACAACTTGACCAAACCTGAAAATCCTCTTTCATTGGGGTGGGTGGGGTGGGGTGGGGAGAAGACACTTTCCTAATTCAATTTTCTTCAGAAACATGACTCTCCTTATCACTTTAAGAGGGGTCTGTGTTTCCTAGGAGGATCCAAGATCATTTTCTTCGTTACTTTTACATAGAATTTTAATAACTCTGAAAATTACAGCGGAACCTTTACCCCCCCCCCCCCATCCGCCCTTGAATTGGCTAATGAAGAAAATCATGATGCATTTAGATCCAGTTCAACCGAAAGATCTTTTAAAGTCTGTTTGAAATTTGGCTCAATAAAAGTTTGGGATTTAGACATTTCACGTTATTTGTCTTTCATTTGATGTCAAACATAAGGTGCATTCTCTATCCAGAGTTGTCTTCCGCTACGCTACCAACACAACTCTGGGTAGAGAATGACATTAGGTGATGCTAACTTGGCGATCATCATTGACAGGCCGAGACTCAGAGGTCATATAACAGCCCGTTTGAGTTATACAATGTAATATTCCAAAAGGGATATAAATTTACTGTGCAATTTTTTTGAACTATTGATAGCTAGAACTATTGAAATCCACATTAAAAGACATTGAATGCAACTGCTGGCAAGCAAGTTTTTCTGTGACCTTACTATGGAAACCGGATAGGGCCATGTAGCTCACTATCGCCCCAAACCTCGAAGGTGAGATACATGGCCCAATATGGATTCCGTAAGATACACTAAAAATAATGTTTACCAAAAGTTTTTAATGTGTTTTTATGCAGATTTTTATTTTTTAAAAGGTCTTTTTTGCAGTTGTTTATATTCAATTGGATATTACTAGTATAATCCAAACGGGCCTAGTGCGTCGTCCCATGACATAATATGCTTACGTCCTTTTGTTGGTATATTTCCTGATTTCTCTTGCATTGTGCTGTTCCGATGTACAGAATTGCTTTCTTTTTCAAACTTTGCAAAATTTTCCTTCATACGCATAACTTCATCCTTCAACAGTTCACCTTGTTTAGTTAAATCCGTAGCTTTAGATTTAAGAAATTCGTTTTCTTCGGACAGCACCTGAACTTTGATTTTAAGAACTTCATTATCACTCTCAAGTTTCACAATTTTCTCATTCTGCTGTCCAATTAACTTTTTTATGTTCTCGATTTCGTCTTTTAAGAAAGTTTTTTTGTCGGCATTGCTCAATGTTAGATTAAATACAATAAACACAACTATATGTAGAACATTCCTCGTAGTGCCATATTTCCATAAGATAAATCTTTTGATAAGGGAATGTATAGTACAAATAGATTATGGGTCATCTGTGGCCATTGTACTTCTGTTCTTGACCATTTTAATGGGAAATGTATTTGTAATAGTTATAAGTAATTTGTAATACAATGTATTTAGTAATATCTCTTGTCAACTTAATAACCCCTACAAACATCCATTCATTTATAAAACCCATTCCCGTGATTGGTTTTTGTGAATTCTTATATTGATGTTTGGCAACTGTGAGGTCCAACTACGATCGTACAAGATTTGCTTTCTAAGCTACCTTATTAATATCTGCCAATCGTAAGCATCAGGTGATAACTTTCATAGGCGTCGGAAGCAAATTGAAAGTGGGGGAAAGAGAAAAAATTCAAACCTGAGAAAAACTTGACAAGCAAAAAAAAAAAAATAAATAAATAAATAAAAAATAAACAAAAATAATAAATAAATAAATCTAAAAAAAAAAAGAAAATTGAAAATTAGCCAAACCCGAAATCCTATTTCGTAAGGGGGTTTGGATCGAACTTCTTTCAGTGCCATTTTATTTTTTCAAATGCTGCCACTTACCCTTCTTGATTACACTGCAATGTGCCTGTTAAAAGGGGGGGGGGGCTAAACCTACGCCCCAATGTTCAATGCCTATATTAAGTCTATCTTTGAAAAAAGTGGGGGGGGGGGGGTTAAGTCCCCCTAGCCCCCCCCCCCCCCGGTTCCGACGCCTATGACTTTCTTTATATCAAATTGACTTTGAAAGTACATATTCATATTGTGCTTGACCTATAACAAGCTACAGAAAGATACGTAGGTTAAAAATTCATTGCTACTGTACTTGAGTAGACGCGATACAACATACTTTTTTGCACATTGATCTGGACACATTGACGTCCAGCAGGTAACTGTTTGCATCATTACACTGAGCAACTGGCGGTATACCAAGATTTTTGATTTCATGAGCACTGAGCACATAGTTACGGTGAACATGGGTGCCTAGCCTAACGTTGTGAAATTTATGGCCCCTGAGTCAGAGGTTCCTCATTCCGGTGGGGCTCTATTGATTATAGAGTGAAAATACATTATTTCCTTGCAAATTTTCTTCTTTCTCCTTGGTATTAAACAAATAAAATAAGTGCATAGTTATGATGAACAAGGATGCCTCTTCCAAAATTGTGAATTTTATGACCCCTGGGTCAAGGGTTCTGGTGTTAGGGTGGAGTTCTATCATTATAAATAGAAATGCATTATTTGATTGAAAATCTTTTTCTCTGCTCCTGGGTATTAAGCAAACAAACTACGTGTATAGTTATGATGAACAAAGGTCTAAAATTGTGAATTTCATGGCCCCTGGTTTAGGGGTTCTGCTCATTCATCTAATAAAAGTATTAAATTTTGATCAATTGTAATGAGTACAGTATATTATAACTTGGAAACCTTAGACCAATTCGTGAAGTCTAAGTTGCATTAACTTACTGTCTTTAGAAAAAATTGTCACTCAAGAATAGTTCTTTTAGGCGAGCATTTTAGTATTTGATGCTAGGAATGTTTTTAAGCTTTTTTGAAAACATTTTAATAAAGAAGAAATTGTTTAAATATGAATATGCCATTAAAATGCGCAAATGGTGCATTCTTTTACGGAATAAATGGACAATGACTACAATTCTTTTGAATTTAAAGCTTCCAGCCAGCAAAACATGTAAATGCATGAATGTCAGCAAAAATGACTGCATTGTAACTAGCTTGTATGGTGCGGAGATTGAAGCTGTCACCCTTGTTTAAGGACGCCACCACCGTAGACGAGTCGGAATCGTCATCATCAGTATTTCCGGTGTCTATCAAACTTCCTCCGACGACGGCAGAGTTGACCAGTAAGTTGATGTAATGACCGCCGTGAGGATCTGTATAAGTGGTCCACGTGATACATATACCCGTGCGATGAACGTCCCGCTGTGTTTATTATACCCATTCACAAAATTGGTTTTGATGACGTCAAAGACCAAAGTATGATACTTGGTGCGGGTTCTGATGTAGACATGTGTGCATAAAAGTCAATTGGTTCCAAGGATAGTGGGGTGCATGATGGTGGAGAGTTTGTGTTTGGGCCGAGTAGGCGACCTGCAAAACGTAGGATGACCCCAAATTTTATTTCATGAATTAAGAGAGAGAGATGATTAATCCCAATAGACATTTTTAAAGACTAATGTATATGAAAATAGAACTACCCCCAAGATTTTTTTTTAAGTTTTTAACACAGAGAAATTTTAAACTTCTTAATTATAACTTTAATCTTCAAACCAAAATGCTTTCTATTCTTTTGCGATGTATTTCTTTATAGCGAATTCAGAACTGAGAAAATTCATTGAAATTGTTTTTGTTTTTTTTTAAATCTTGAAACGGTACTTATTAGGTCACTAAGGTGACCAATTGCTATCTGTCTTCGTCCGTTGTCTTGTGTCGTGCATTAACATTTGAACATTTTCACTTCTTCTCTGGAACCCCTAAACCATAAAGCATATATGGGCGAGAAGAACAAAAATTTTGAAATTCAATGCCCCCTCCTCAGCCTCTGCGGCCAGAGAAGTGGGGCCAAAACACTCAAAATTAATGCAATCTTTAGAAATCTTCTTTACTCCTGGACATCAAGCAGTCAAACTGTTGGCAAGATTGTAATAAGCATTGAGTCCTCTACCAAAATTGTGAAATTCATGGCCCCAGAGCCAAGAGTTGTAGTGTTAGGGCTTGTCTTTATTAATCATATAGTGAAAATGCATAAATCCTTTAAAAATCTTTTTTTTTCCTCCTCTGTATATTTAGCAGACAAAGTAGATGAATTATTATGATGAACAAGGGTGGCTCTTTCGATATTGTGAAATCCATGGCCCCAGGATCAGGGATTCTGGTGTAAGGGTGGGGCTGTATTGATTATATAGTGAAAATGCATTAATTCGTTGAAAATCTTCTTCTCTGCAACTGGGTATTTAGGAAATAAACTAAGTGCATGGTTATAATGAGCAAGGGTGTCTCTTTCTAAATTGTGAAATTCATGGTCTTTGATTCAGGGGTTTGGTATTGAGACAGGGTTCTACTGATCATAAAGTTAAATACGTCAATTCTTTAAATATATTCTCTCCCTCTCTATATTACCAAAGTAAGTGCATGAACAAGGGTGTCCCTTCAAAAATTGTGAAACTCCTGGACCCTATATCAGGGGTTCTGGTGTTAGGACGGGGCTCTATTGATTATACATGTATAATGAAAATGCAATATTTCTTTGAAAATCGTTTCTGCTTCTGGGCATCAAGGAGGCAAACAGAGTACAAAGTTGTAGTGAGCAAGAGTTATTTCTCTTTGCAATTCAACTATGAAAATTAATCAATGTAAATAAAGTAGTTAATAGATCAATCGAATAAAAGAATTACACAAGAATTTTTAATGTATAGCACAAAAAGTACTTTCAAAGTTGTCAATGGTCAGGTAGACTTGTAAATAAACGAAAAATAAAATGAGACAAAAATACCTTATTTTGTACATTAAATGTTCTTCAAAGATCAAGGAAGCCATTGTGAGAAAGAATGTAATGGGTTTACTGTATAAGCTCAATCACTATTGTTTTGTATAGTTTGCATGGTGATAGTGACAAATGGGAGTGTATTAGCACTTCCGTTGCGTTTACCTAAGGATTTTTTCAACGCACTGACGGCAATGCTGTTTAAGGATTAATTGTGGGATTCTTACGAGATGCAGAGTCAATCCGATAGCATGAACTAAGACAGAAATATATGTAGAGACAGTGTGAACCGACATTTTAGGTTAAAATAAATTCATGTTTTTAAACCCAGAAAGACCAGTGGGGGTACAACGTAAACAAACCGGAGTGGCATACCTTTCTCTCTTATAATGTATAGTGGCGTATTTTTCTGTGTACAACGATTATTTTGGGGTTTTCACGATTTTTTCCTATGGTACATATGCTGAATAAGTGCAATAAATATAATTTGTGGAAAAAATGTCCGACAAGCCCCGGGGTTGAATATCGGGGGAAGGGGGGGGGTCCTGTCCACAAGTACCTGTGTTTTCATCCCACCTATTAAACTTATCTTCAGAAGTACATTATCCTGTTCAAGTTTTGTTTTCTCAGCCTGTTGTTCAAGTAATGTTCTAATCTCGAAGATTTCGTCTCTTGATCAAGTTATTTGATAGGCAAAACTAAGACTCAGACCGAGTACAAGCAGTAAAGCACATCGAGAGACATGCTTACTTGTACATACTGTCAGATTGTCTTTGTGATAAGACAGTTAGTATGCCAGTAAAAAGTCAATATGTCTGAGAAGTTTTTCAATTACTCGTTGAACACTGAAGACTAAACATATTTTCACCTTTAAAACAACAATAGAAATCAAATGAATCTCTTAAACTTCCTTCTTCTCAAGTAATTGTAGGATCAAAAATCATAGAGTTGGCCGTGACAAGGCCATCAAGTCACACGTTAATTGATCAATTCGTGAATTTCTAATATATTCCATAACTACAGAATTTTTGCCGTTGTATAATGAACAGTCCATAGGTCATAAGTTAAATATAAACCTTTCATCCACAGAATCTTGAGACAATCTGAACAAAAATTGGTAAATAGTACACT